TAACATGAAAGTAAAAGTTTGACATAACAATAGAAGATAAAATGCCAGAATAAAATCTCATCTGGTATTTTAAAAGCCTGGACAAATTAAAACCCTTAAAACTATTGCTGAAAAAGAAAGATTGTGCCAAGTGCAGCTCTTTGGAAAGGAAATTAGAAAGACATAGTGCTACCACCAAAGAGGTTCTGTCTTCTGTCATCACCACTTCATCTAAGAAGGAGGTGAGAACTGGAGAACAAATCATCAGCTAATCGAAAATGCAGGCAGATTCTTGTGAGAACAAGAGTTCACCCAAATAACTTGGTGCTAAGCAACTTAGAACTTTTTAGGTCAGAACTGGCAGTTTGAATTATGTCTGGAAACGAACCAGAAACCTACATTGTTTCTGAGCAAAAGATGTAATTAATGATTGGGTAATTATGGTCAGACTATTCTGTAAAGGAAAATATGCAATTGGTAAACCATCTTAACTACTGTAAATTTATTTGTTAATTTGAACATAACTGAAATAAATACTTGCAGTGAAAATCTAGGGGAGGAAGACACTGTAAAACAAACAAACAACTAAACCCCAACAGCTTAGGACTTCTGGCCATTTGGAAAAAAGTGGATCTGGGGCTTCATGGAATGATAAATTTAAACTAGAGCAGGGATAATCTTTCTTAGGCTAAGGACTGTATTTCCATAATTGCATGGGAACTAGGACCAAATACATTTTATTGTATATAATAACTGAATAATTATTAAGTTGGCATTAAATTAGCAATTTTGTAGGGGCTCATAAAAGTGCTTCCAAGACTTTCTGGAGCAAATTCAGTCCTTGGGTCTCCGGCTATGGATGCAGTAACTGCTGCCTGCCTAAGTGAGTAGTAAATTAGGCATGTTTGCCACCTTGAGTTCTATATATAAAAAAGTGGGATAAAATATAATAATAATAATAATAATAATAATAATAATAATAATTCATCTACAAACTTCTTTTGAAAATGAAAGGATAACAGGTATGTGAACGTTAACAAGATGGTGATGGCAAGATGGTAGACTACCTTCCCAACTTCAAGAACACTAGCCATTTGGTCTGAATAATAGGGGAAGAAAGGCCTTAAATGCAACATTCAGCCAACAATGCTGTTAAAAGAAATCCTCTAAGAATGAATAATTACTGAATTATACAAAGTTAATAGTGAAGGATGCTGAAAGCTGAGTTATTTTATCCCTTTATTCTGGGTTGCTTAAGTGAGCTGATGATGCTGTCCACTGAATTAAGAAGAAAAATCAATTTTATTCAACTAATAGGCATATTGGTGAGAAATCATAAAAAACTGCAGTGAGAACATGATATAAAATAATCTGTACTTTTAAAGTGTAATAAGGAAGCACTTGCAGTATAATTGACAGCAAAGAATAAGTCATAATAAATTATAAATCAGAATCTAATCAAGGCATAATCTATGGCCAAAATATTTATTACTAATTCTTGGATTCTGTGCTTCTTAATTGGATTTCTTGCATCTGGACATTTCTGCCAGTAACCAAAACACATCTTTATTTCCAAATATTCTTTTCAATAAAGCCCCTCTTACCATGCCTAGGTCAGATTGTAGTTTTTACTCAGGGCTTAGAAACCTTCTCTTCAAAAATAAATAAAAATAAAATGTTCATTCTATAAAATAATATACCAAATGAAACAAATATACATCTATTTACAGTTAATATGGAAGACTAATTAAAACTAATGCAGCATTTTTAAGATGATGGAGCTAGATTAAATCATAGTAGCATCTCTATGTTCTGTTAAATAAAACACTATTTCTCTGTATCAGAATAATACATTACAATAGAGATATCTAAGAACAACAATAATGCAGTATTAAATATATCTAAATAACAATGGATATCCTTATTAACATTGTTTCTATTATAATTTCTAATTTCTAATTTCTATTCTATTATGCTTTATTAATTTTAGAAGTTCCAATAAGTGACAAAATGTTTTCAGGGTGCTGAAAACAATGATATTTCATGGTTTTAGTTACTCATTTTAATTATGAGGAACTGCAGGTTCCTTATATAAGCTACTTAGAGACCTTTAGAATAAATCAGTTTAATAAATCATAAATAAATGCAAATGATCTTTGCTCCTGCATATGTCAAAGTGCCTTTTAATAGTATATTGTATTTTTGTGACTAGTATAGTATATTGTATTTTTGTGAAGATTTGATTGTCATCAAATCTTCACAAAAATACAATATACTATACTAGTCACAAATTGTCATCAAATCTTTCCATGCATTCAAACTGTGTGCCAACTTTTATTCTTGCAAGTCTGTAATGGAGAGAAAAGCCCAACACTGATTGGCTTAGATCTAATTTCTCAAACCAATACATGCAAATCCACTTCAAATAATCTTTGGTTAAAATCATGGCTCTATTCTTTCTAATCCAACTAACTTGATTCAAGTTTCATTTGCTTCAGGCTCTGTCCTCCAATAGATCTGATCGTTTGTTCACAGCATCCTGTAAGATGAGTCTAATTCATATCTAATAGTGCTTGTCATAGTTACATGATCCTTGCTCACAGAGCACAAAAAAGTGACCAGGTTAATAAATACCTGCTTGAAGCTGATTAATTTCATGGAGTGGTTAGATTTTTCATGTGGGGGTGAGAGTCATCACTAAGTCATGACTAACTTAGCGGAAAGCTAAGAAAAAAGATTCTGCTTGGCACGTTAATAATAATGATGGGCTATTATCACTTTTATTAAGGTTACATCTTTCAGTCTGAAGTTTATACATTTCCTATTTGCTGTGTTCTAATATTTTAGGACAATAGCCATTTGCAGAAAAGGAGCTCTAAGGTGTGCAACCTTGGCCTGATGGTTAAGAATTATCTAGTTTTCTGTCTAGGAACACAGGGACTAAAAGCATTCTTGTAAGTTACTCATACATTCAGTTGTATAAGTACAACTATGTGGGCAATTGCTGTTTATTTTGAATAATTAAGTTTTCTGCTAAAGATATACTCTTCATTCGTTCATTCGTTCATTCATTCATTCATTCATGCAAATACTTGTTCCAGCTAAGTTTCATAAGAAAATGTAATTCAAATAGAGAGCCAGTTTGGTCTAGTGGTTAAAGCACCAGGCTAGAAAGCAGGAGACTGTGAGTTCTAGTCCCACCTTAGGCACAAAAGCTCACCTCACAGGGTTGATGCAAATAGGAGGAGTAAGGAGTATTAGGTATGTTCACTGCCTTGAGTTATTTATAAAAATAATAAAGGTGGGATTAAAAAAATCTAAAAAAAAAGTGTGTGGATGTCTATTTGCAACTGCTGTTAAAGAAATTGGAGAATTATGGAATCTTTCTCTCTTACCCTCTCTCTTGTAGAAATCTGTTTTTAAAATTCTGTAACTAATAAAAAGGATTGAATTGCTCAAACAACCTACCTTATCCAAATTTTTTTAAAATAATGTTCAAGACTATATTGTCATCTCTTAATAGGCATCTTCTGTCCCTGAAACGTATTCCATATGTTTCCCTAAGAAAATCTTTAAAGTGAAAAAGATGAAACAGCTGCTTAATGTTTTTGATTGAGGATTCCTAGCACTACCAAAAGAAGGCAGTGATAAGCCACTTCCACATTGTTGCCAACAAAACTACACAGACATAGCCATGAAATCACCGGGAGTCAAGCTTGACTTGAGGGAATCAAGTTTACCTTTTTTAAAATGTTCAAACCCGTGTTGGGTTCTTGTATACTTGAGTAAGTTTTAGATTTATGAAAATGTTTCTTTGTATCTTGAGATAATGTTGAAAAGAGCCCACCGTTGCTGTTCAGATTGATCAAAGTTGTTCCAGCACTGCTTATATGTTTAGCTAATATGCAAAAGAAACTTATGAGATATATTTGTGTAAGGTATGATGCACAAGACTATCTCAGGCCTGTGACACTGCACAGATAAACTAGTAAGTTCCTGTACCATGATTCCTATTAGTATGTGCTAGGCATGGAGGAAAAAAAAAAGAAAAAGAAAAAAGAAAAAAGAAAAAAGAACAAGCTTCTAGCTGCTTAAAAAGGTGAAAATGTTACTATAAATGTTGTACAGCGTACCTGCACAAATTGGGTTCTCTGCACAACAATTTTTAAAGAATGCTGAAATAGAAATAATATTTAAGGTGTGCATTGGTTGTTGGGGGACTGTTGCTAATTTATATTCAATAACAGCCACCCAGATTAAATGGTACTCTGTATGAATATTGTTTGCTTATAAAATATGGGGTGGAAGGGACAATTGGACTTTCATTATTTGGGTATTAGCACTTTAACATTTGTGCATTTATGAACTTTGTATTTTGCACCAAATAACAAACAAGGGGGAAAAAAAGCTAACTCACTCTTTTATGCTATCATCTTAATGTATCCTTTGCAATCTATCTATCTATCTATCTATCTATCTATCTATCTATCTATCTATCTATCTATCTATCTATCTATCTCAATCAAATTTGTCACTGCCCATCTTATTAAAAAATGACTCTGGGCAGTTTACAGAGAAGCTAAAATCAATTAAAAATACAATATAAAATATTCTTGAATAAATAATAAATAAATATAGTCCAAGATTTAATGTTAATTGGCAAGTAGCTCAGGAAGCGTCATCAGGGCACCAGCCACCCCCAGGATTGATTAAAATTCTTGTTGTCCCACTCAAGCTGGTAGAGCCAGGTCTTTAGTCCTTTCCGGAAAGCCGAGGGGGTAGGGGCCCACTGCACCTCTGAGGGTAGAATGTTCCAAAGGGCGGGGGCAACAGCAGAGAAGGCTCCCCTCCTGGCCCCTCCAGGCGACATTTTCTTGCTGACGGGGTCCGTAACAGGCCTTCTCTGCCTGATCAGCAGAGTTATATGTTATGTAAATGCCATAACTATTTTTTTTACTGCTTGGAGATATTGTGAATTATTAATTAATGAATTAATTTCCCTCTTTTATTTCCCTTGAAAGGTTGAAAAAAATGATGACACTGACCAAAAGATTGAACAAGATGGCATCAAACCAGAAGATAAAGCTCATAAGGCAGCCATCAAAATTCAGGCTAGCTTCCGTGGACACATAACAAGGAAAAAGCTCAAGGGAGAGAAGAAGGGAGATGCCCAAGCTACTGATGTTGAAGGTGGTGAGAAGAAGGAAGAGGTCCTTGCCAATGGTCTGGCAGATGGCAAAACTGCTATTACAGAAGTTGTTCCAGCTGAGAATGCCCTACCTGGAGATGAAAGTAAAGGGGAAAGCACCCCAGCAGATGAGAAGCAGGCAGATGGCACTGCCGACAGTGGCTCAGAGCAACCAGCCCCAAAGGCCACTACTCCTGCTGCTCCATTGGAGGAAAAGCCTGCTCCTGCTGCCACTGAAACAGAAAGTGCCACTAAAGCTTCCACTGATAATTCACCATCCTTGAAGGCTGATGAGGCCCAAGTCAAGGAGGAACCCAAACAAGCCGATGTGCCTGCCACTGCCACCACTGCCGTTACCCCTAGTGCTGCAGAAGATGCTACTGCCAAGGCAACAGCGCAACCCCAAACAGACACGGCAGTGAGTAGCCAAACCGAAGAGAAAACAGGTATGCTATAGCAGCATGTGGGTAAGCTGTTTTGTAATGTAGATGGGCAATGACGAAATGAGGAATTAACCCATAAGTAGTTACTTATGAGATTAAATGCAGAAGTAAAACAGGCAATCCTATATCCAAAGTGGAAGCTGGACATAGTTTTTCTCTGGGAACAAGAAAGCTCCATGGTAAGAATATAAGAATGTGTTCCACAGTCTTACCTTTCAAACTTCATATGGAAGTTCCATTCATAAGAAAATAAACTTTGTTTTCAAACTTTGCAAGAAATCATTTCTAAGGTTGAAGGGGAATTTCTTCTGCTTTTAATTAATGCATTGGCTGATAGCTGATTTTAGTACAAAATCTAACTTCCCAAAGATAACATTTGATTGAGTGCCAGATTATACTTTTGGCCTCCAAACAATAACTGTCCTCAGCATGGTACCTTTAGATGTTTGGTAAGTAAATTCAATAAAAGTGGCAATGGGAGTTTAAATTAAAATCTGAAGACGTTATGTTGAAAAAAGCTGCTCCTGAGCATGAAAAATTCTGCAAAAATAGGCAACTTCTATCCAAGAGATCAATTGATCTCAAATGAATCCTTAATATTGACAGAATGGTAACATCAAGGTTAAATGTAGATCTCTAGTGAAATACTAATAAGTAAAGTTATCTGAACAGTATGATTTGAAACCAGTTAGTAATCTGCAGGTAGAAATAAAATTTATACAAAAGACTTAAACTATTATTTCAAGTGTTCATAGATAACTGTAGGGTTTCTCTCTCCCTCCCTCCCTCCCTCCCTCCCTCTCTTTTAGTAGGGAAGTATAACACTAAGATAAATTTGTAGTACATGCACTGTCTTCATGACTTACACACTTGATCTGTGTAAATATATCTAGCCCCTGAATTTAGGGGAGCACCATTCTAAAGACCAATAAACAAATGAAAATCTGAAGTATAAGATGGGATGAGTAGCCAAACTGGGTCATTTTTTGGCTTAATTCTAAATGGTTTCAGTGGAGGTGGGCCAAAGATGATTTTGAATCACTTTCTGCCAAATTGGTCTTTAAATCTCATGAGAAATCAGTGTCTCCTCTGGCTGACCATACAAGGACATAGTGGTTGAATGAATAATAAACTTTGCAGTTCTAATTGCCAAAAGCAATTTACTATGAGCAGAAACTGGAATGAAAGGATGGCAGGAAAGATGCTTAAGGAATTTGGAATCAGTAAACTTGCAAACACTGTTTCTTCAATAACATATCATTTAGTTCAGTGAAACTGTGACAGAATAAATGGACTCTGGAATATAGCTCATTAAGAGACATTACTACAAGTTGCTGACGAACTATGACAATCCTCCCATGACCCTGTCTTAGTTAGTGATTTTATTGTTCCCTCCTGTAGTTTTGACTTGGCAACTTGATGGTTTTAGTCTTATGTATGATTATAGTGGCATCACATAGCTCTAGTATGTTCTATACCAGTTTAGATAGCATGATGAAAGTGCCCATGGTGTACATATGCATTATGTGTGAAGATCACAGTAATTTTATTCATATGGTGGCTAATATGCTTTACAACTGTATATGATATCCTTCTAAAGTTGATATTGGACTTCTTAAGAGAAGATTTTTTTTAGTAATCTTTATTGAAATATTCCACAGAAAAGTGACAACCTGAATAAATAAGAACAACAAAACTATGACAACACATTGAAATCCAACAGCTCTATAATAGGTCTGTATCACTTGGGAGCACTAATTTGATTTAAAGAATAGCTATAAAGTAGGTAACTGTTTTGCAAATGTTTGAACTATGCATATATCCAAGCCATCTGAAATCCAGAGAACCTTGGCTACTTGAAGCTTTTTGGACCCTGGACACAGCCATTTTTTTTTAAAATGGTGGCAGTAAAATTTTTAAAAAGCATAGCCTTTTTGCCCTGCAAAGAATCTGTAAGTGAGATATAACTTGAACAATTATAAGGTTAAAACACACACACACACACACACACACACACACACACACCCCTATATCTGAAGCACCTTTTGTGGTTGAGGCCTGGGCTAAATGGCCTTTCTGCCCCTTTTCAGCTCTTTGGCGCTGTACCTATCAGTGTGGAGATCATACACCAATCTTCATAGCAGATTCAGCCTATTGACCACTAAATTATGAATTTTGTAATCGAATTAGTCATGGGGTATACATTCATTTCATTTCATATTTGCCTCCATTCATTTCATTCCTATTTTAATATATACCTAACGAATGTCTACTTCATGAACCATTAAACAGTATGAAATGCAGTTATGGCCTGATATTTGTCATCTACGAAATTTGCAGCACAATTTTGTTAAAAAATTCAAAGTGTATAAATTCATAGGGAGGTGCTCACAAAATGCGCAAATTACTAGAGGTAAGATATAAATTCTTTTCTGTAGGGACACTTGTTGGCATATATTAGGCCAAACTGTTTAGAAACTGCGTAAGAAGAAGTACACATGCAAATCACTAAGCAAACTTTAACCCTTTTAAAGCATCCACAGATATGTTGAAATGGGACAAAATTAAATTTAAGACTGTGGAAAGAATAAAAACAAACATTGATGGATTTGTTTTTATATGTATATATGTATGTATGTATGTATGTATGTATGTATGTTTTCACTTAATGGTGAACAAATGCCTTTATCTTCTGGTTACTGGTAACAAACTGTGGGAAGCCCATACAAAAAGTGATTGGACCTCTACAATTGGAACATGTGGTAGAAGATTAGTGGAAAACTGATTAGCCTGACTGACATTTTTAAAAGATTTTTCTACTTTTTCAGAATGAAGCTGAATAAAATGATATTTGCTTAGCTTAATACGCTCTAAACCAATATAGTCTGAACATTTAATTGAATTATAAAATAGAGACAGGAACAAAAATTGGCTCTGTATTTGCTGATAATGTAATTTTGTAGGCCTCATGTGAATAAAAAGTCAAATAAAAATTAGGTCTTTGGAAGGACCTGGCCAGCTTCATAGCCAAATCTTTGATTCCCAACCCTGTTTGTGTCATTTGGACAGGGCATATGGTTAAACATAAATACAGTAAAATATAAATACTTAGAGGGTACCTATAACATGTGTTATTATTATTTAATTATTTATTAGAGTTATATCCCATCTTTCACCCAAGAGGTAAAGGTGCCTTACATGGAGAGCTCCTTTCATTTTACCTCCTAAACAACAACCCTGTGAAAAGTGGGGAGGGAGAATGTGTGGCAAGTGATAACACATATAAGATGACATTACAATGCAAACTCCACTTTTACACTTGCACCATGATGTCATCATGATGAAATCTTAAACTGCCTCAGATGCCCAAGCCAATGAGGTAGGTTGGACTCAGAGTGACTGCCCAAAAGTTACCTGGTGAGTTTTCATGACTGAGGGTGAGCTTGACCTTTGGCCTTCTTGCCTGGGTCCAATAACAGAACGAATACAGAATAAGACAAAATTTGTAGGCAATTTAGATTAGTATGAAGGGAATAACACATTATATGTAAGTGTTGAGGTAAATGCAGAAATTTTCAGATTGTTTTTTGATTTTAATGATTGCTTGCTCAGGTCATTTCCACAAGTTTCTCAAAACTCCGAGCAATCATTACAGGAACAATGTATTAAGCTTTATACTGTATCTTCTGTTTCTTTGGTGGTACTGTTTAATATAGAAATATACACGGATGGATCAGTAAGATCAAAATGGGAAGGGATGTTGCTAAGAAGGAAGAAGGCAGGAATAAGACACACACACACACACACACACACACACACTATATATATATCTCTTTTATTTATAATTTTGTACAGTAAAAGAAGATAATGTATGATTTTCAGGAGGAATAAACAAATGAAGAAAGAGGACTAAGTAAAATTTATACAACTGAGAAAACTGTCTTGAAACAGAATAAAAGAATGGAATATAATACAAATACTGTGTGAGGAAGGGATAGGAATGCAGGGAGACTAAATGTTGGATAAATGAACTAACTAAAAGAGAGTCAAGTGAACTGGGTTACACAAGAAAGAAATGAAGACAATGAATTAGAAGAATTAATCATTTGGTTGCCAGAAATAATACATCACACGTGAAACCACTCAAAAAGGGATTTCAGGTAACAATGAGGTATAATTATAGTGAAAACAAATATATACATGAGATGAGATGGCCACCTGTAGTAAGCTCTATGAATACATGAACTATTTTCTCCTTTCTCCTTCCCTTCCTACGGCATTTTTTCTCAACAAGCAGCAAAAAGTTGCTTTATTTTTTTAAAAAACATCATTTTCCTTAATTTTCAGTAAGTGGCAGCATCTAGTGTTCTGAGCTCCCAAATTACAGACTAGAGACCAAACTCTGCACTAGATTTTAAACCAGGGACAGAGAAAACTTCCTGGGGGAGTTTGAAAGCTGTCAGAATTTCTTTATTTAACAGCAGGTTCAAGCTTCAGATGGATGAATACTAGTTTCCTTTCCTTTTTTCTTACATATTATTTTTGATATTTTCCAGCCCTTCAAGTCCAGCCACTTATTCTATATACCTTCCTAACCATTCAGTAATTCTATTTCAGATGATAAACAGAGAGGCAAAGTTCATTTGTTATGGCTTTAAAGTTGGAAAGCAAAAAGTGTATTTATTTAAATAATTCATACGACCTTACAACAATGACTCTGGGTGGCATACAGGGATTAACACAACAACTACCCATCCATATATAACCCATGATGTCTAAGGTTAAAACAAAGAGCCAGTCAGAAAAACCACATCGACATCAGAACGCATCTAATCATCTAGCACAAATGCCTGGGGAAACAGGCAGGTCTTCAGTGCCTTGCAAAAGGTTAAGAGCATTGGGGCCATCCAGATTTCAAGATGGATGTTATTCCATAAGGCAGGTGTTGCCATAGAGAAGACGTAACTTTTGGGTCCAACAAGATGGTACTGTTTGAAAAAAGG